CAAACTCCTGACCTCATGTGATCCACCCGCCTCGGCCTCCCAAAATGCTGGAATTACAGGCGTGAGCCACCGCGCCCGGCCTAATTTTTATTTTATTTTTTTTTGAGACCGAGTCTCATTTTGTTGCCCAGGCTGGAGTGAAGTGGCATGATCTTGACTTACTGCAGCCTCCACCTCCCAGGTTCAAGTGATTCTCATGCCTTAGCTTCCCGAGTAACTGGGATTAACAGATATATGCCACCATGCCCATCTAGTTTTTATATTTTTAGTAGAGACGAGGTTTCACCATGTTGATCAGGCTGGTCGTGAACTCCTGGACTCAAGTGATTCACTTCCCTTGGCCTCCCAAAGTGCTGGGATTACAGGTGTGAGCCACTGTGCCCGGCTTTCTGCTGGTTATTCGGGAACCAAGGGCTTTCAGTTATCAGGTGATGTATACTGCTAGGACTGGGTCCTTCCCTTCAAGGCAGCAGGTTCCCTTCTGGCCCAGGATATGTCTGGAATTGTCATCCTGGAGCTAGGGCCTAGAATGGAGGCCTCATAACTGATAAACTTTAATTAATTTATTTATTTTTTACTTTATTATTATTTTTGTCTTAGAGAACTTGGAATTAATTTATTTATTATTAATTTATTTATTTTTAAAGATGGGGTTTCACCATGATGGCCAGGCTGATCTTGAGCTCCTGACCTCAGGTGATCCACCCACCTTGGCCTCCCAAAGTGCTAGGATTACAGGCGTGAGCCACCGCGCCCCGCCTGTTTTTTATTTTTTTTTGAGATGGAGTCTCACTCTGTCACTCAGGGTGGAGTGCAGTGGCATGATCTCGGCTCACTGCAACCTCTCTGCCTCCTAGGTTCAAGTGATTCTCCTGCTTCAGCCTCGTGAGCAGCTGGGACTACAGTCGCATGCCACCACACCTGGCTAATTTTTGTAATTTTAGTAGAGATGGGGTTTTCACCATGCTGGCTAGGCTGGTCTCAAACTCCTGACCTCAGGTGATCCGCTCTTCTTGGCCTCCCAAAGTGCTGGGATTACAGGTGTGAGATACTGTGTCCAGCCTTGATTTATTTTCATATAAAGATCTGATTACTGTGAGATTTGGCGAAATTTGTCATTCTAGTCCTTACAGCAGTTGATTACTTGAAAAGCTGACAGCTGTATAAACTTGTTATTGGTCTTAAATATAAAAAGGCAGAAGTTGTCTAAATTGAGAGATGTTTAATGTCTTAGAAAGTGTGTGTCTGTTAAGGTGGTAGTTAACAAGTACTTGCGTAGGAACCTAATTTTTAAACAACATTGCATGTGAAATACTTGCATTTCTGCTGTTGAAAAGCATA